ATATATATATATATATATATATATATATATATATATATATATATATAGAAGAATGACTTCAGTTAGTTACTAGCTTGGCAACACTGCATCTTCTTAAAAATTATTTTGGCGCATTCACTACTTGATCAAACAGACTGTTTTACTTAATGTAGTTCCCTAACTTACCGTTGTTTAAGCATAGAGTGCGCTAAAAAACCAAGGATATACTATATCAGAGCATGGGACGCAAAATCCAATAAGATGCCAGATTTTATCATATAAAGTGTCTCATTTTAATTTATAAGTCCAATTATCTCCGGAATTATTATTTAAAAAATATCTCACATGCACTTTTTTTTGTTTTGTTTTGTTTTAAGAAGACAGTATACTAGTTTTAGTTTATCTAGATAGATGCATGTAGCAGATATGAAGATCACTACTATTTTTTCAACTATGATTATGTAATTTTTTTTTCTTTTGCTCTACAAAAAAAGTATTAACGTATCTACGTTTAAAACGGGGTTATCAGGTTAGGGGATATTCTTCATATAATCTATGCATAAAAGGAACAGTACGAATACAAGAACACCGTAGATTTCATAAAATTACAGTTGAAGTATTTCCCAAACTAAACTTTCTTTTTACAGAAAATGACTGACTGCTGCGTCGACTGACGTAAAAGAAAATTACATAATTATACTTGAAAAAATAATAGTGACCTTCACTGTTATTCTCGCGTCTATATAGAGACAAATTAAATGCACCTTCTCAAATTACTACCTTGGCATGCACTTGAGACATATTTTCAAATGACGAGTAGTTCTGAAGATAATTGCATGCGTTTATAGATTAGAATGCAACGTCCTGTACATCTCTCGTTCACGTCAATGGCAAAAGCTAACCTCGTAGTACGCGAGATAGCCTTTCTCGCGGGTCGCCTCTCCCTCGACTCCCGGCCCGTCGGCCGGCGATCCCAGATCGGTGGCGTCCTCGTTGAAAAGCGTGTAGGATCGTCCGTACGTTGGAATCCCCAGGACGATCTTCTCCGGGGCGGCGCCCCTCTTCAATAGATACTTCACCGTGTAATCCTGGGACAACGTTACACGGCTTAAGCTTAGCTAACTCTGTCCGCTTAGTGCAAGATTCACTCGAAAAATCTTACGATCGTCAACTCGGCGTCGTAGTTGTACTCGTTCTCCTCTTCCAGTGGGTACAACGGAGAGTGGTGATCCACAGCCGGTTCGTAGGACGAATGATAGTCGTACGAGAGTAGATTGATGAAGTCCAAGTATTCGTTCAATGTGGGAACGTCGTAGCCTTTGTCGATGTACTCGACGCCGGCCGGCATCGCCATCGTCAGCAGAAGCCTCGGTCTTCCGGTCTTCGAGGCCTCCCTCTCGAACTCCTCCCTCAGCTCCTTTACAATCGACAGGAATCATTATGTTTCAAGTATCGAGAGACTTAATCATTTGATACAATAGTCCTCATGTAACTGACTACACTGTGGACCACATAACTAATTACACTTTGGACTTCACGACTGACTGTACTTTGGACCTCAAAACTGACTACATTTTGAACCTCATAACTAATTGCACTTCGGACCTCACGGCTGACTGTATTTTGGACTTCAAAACTGATTACACTGTGG